CTGCGGGGGCGCGTCGTTTGCCCCGACAAATTCAGTCCCGAGCCGTAGCCGGTTCCCTCGGGCCTAAGCAGCTCGGCTTCCTGATTTCACAACTGCACGTGTTGCCTCCGGATCGCTGGAGTGGTTGATGGCACCACGGGCGTTCCTGCCATCTTGCGTCGGTGGCCCTCCCAGCAGCTGCCACCTCCACCACGCCTGGCGCCTCCCCGTCTTCGGGTTGCCAGGACCTGGGGACGCAAACCCACCTGGGGGGAAGCTAACAGCCCCCACCCAAACACCGTGCTCGGGTGCGCGACGTTAAACTTCGATGCAGACAAGAGAGACAAGAGCGTTTAAAAGAGCGCCGCGTAGGTAGCCGTGCTGTTACAGACCCCGGCATGCGGTTGTATTTGCAACTATTTCAACACCCTCGGTACAGCATGATGCTGCCGGCTGTGGCACAGCCACCTGCAAGCACGCTTGCAAAGCAGCCCGTGGGGTTCACTGTAGGTCATAGAGCTTCGACACCGGCGTTCATTGGGTCGCAACAGTGCCTTGATGAGAGGGCTTTTTCCGTTTAATTTCCTTCGTTCTTTGAAGTGGGTATTTGGTGACCTGTTGTGCCCACAATATGCCGTTTTAACAGTCCTGGCGCCTGGAGTTCTGCTCAGCTGACAGCGGGGTGGGTTTGCACATGCTGGTCGCCTTCTGCTCCATCATCGTGTTCCACAGAGACCAAGTCTAAGGACAGAGGTAGTTCTGTTTTCACGCCTGTTTAATCCCTGGCTTCTCTACTGGGGCTGCCACCAACTAGGCCGGGATAGCATTTTGTTATGATAATCTGTTTACTGAGAAATGGACAAAATGCTAAAAAATGCCACTTTACATGAGCCATAGAACAGCAAAGGAAGATGGTATGTCAGGTTAGTATTGACCTGTCCCTGATTTTAGCATACAACTACATGTGAAAAGTCCTTTAAACCCTCACCAGAACCTGAAAGTAACTCCAACTGATACTTCCTGTTCAGGATCATTAATTGCTTCAGTCCAGGTTCTTACCGGGCTTTGGGTGAAGAAGGTTTAACCTTTAGCCACAAAACCTACAGTTGATCCCACTTATAAAAGCCCACTCTGCTTAACAATACTGTTATTTATTTGAAGCTTCTTGTCTGTGCATGGGAATTGTATGTTCGAGGATCCAGTTTGTATCCAGGCATAGAAAACGAGCATGCATTTCTACTAGGGTAATAATATCCGCTTATTGTTTCTCTTCTATGAATCCTCTCTCCATCTTTACAGACCACATGGTCCTCTTTGGGGACTTCATAGGATCATAGAATGTTTGGGGTTGGAAGGGACCCCTAGAGGTCATCTAGTCCAAGCCCTCTGCAGTGAGCAGGGACATCACTAACTAGATCAGGCTGCTCATCTATCCCTAGATTTAAATAATCAAACTAAATTAAATACAACCATCAGAGTTTGTAAAACATAAAATTGCATAAGTGTATATATAATTCCCAAAACATTAAATCACTTCCATTTTTTCTTGTTCAGATAAGCCATTTGTAAGTCTATATATAAACAAAACATTAAACCACTTCCATTTTTTCTTGTTCAGATAAGCCATTTTCTTCAAGTGAGTCAGGTATGAGAACTTCACCCCCACTGACAAGAGATTTAGGATTTCTCACTATAGTGCACTACGCTGTTGCTATAATAGAAATACTGATTTTTTTTATCTAATGCGAGCAATTGATCTATTACTGTCTAATAATGTATCCTTATCATAATTACTATGAATGGCCCTCTGTAACTGATGTCTTCCATCATGAACTCTTGAAGGCACCTCATTTATGTGTGAATCATTGTAACTTTTTTAATGTTAAAATGTTCTTTGGCAATGTTTAATGCAAGTTGCCCAATGCATTTATTAATGCAGCAGGGTAATAGATGGGTGTGTGAAATTTGTAGCAACTGTTGCCGCCATGATAAGTCTACCCTTATTTTCAATGTAAGATACTATTGAACTTACGGTTTTAGCCACCAAAACCAAATGCCTAGCCAGAGTCTGCTGAAACTATAGTGAGCTGGACCACAGCTCCTGAAGACATTTTCCACAGACAAGATACAACTATCTGTACAGTTTAAGAAAATAGCAGGAGTTATCCCAGGGATTTAAAAGTGCTATAAATATCAAGACAGTATTTAGATTACAGTTTCAACAGAGTCCCCAGCAACATTAATTCCCAGAGTTGGTATCCCAGTTACCAAATAATTACAGATTAAGCGCACAAAGTACAAAATGCAGAGTTACATAATGAGGCTTTCAAGCGAGACTACGCAACTGATCCCACCGGAACTTTAAACACATTCTTTACGCACGGTTTCGCAGTAGACACCAAGCCCAAACCCCTCTCATTCAAATTTCTATTCTTATATTTGAACAGGAGCTCTAGTAAATACTGCAACCACACGCAGCTAAACTGAAAGAACAGTTGCTGAAACAACCACCTCTGTGTTTGTCCCTTTCAAGAGTTCGGTGGCCTGAACGATGTATACGTAGAGTTTCAGAGTAACAGGGTTTAACGACTGCTCTTCCCTATCCTTACTACCGTTGTTCGTTACATTCGTGCGTTTCCACTTTTCCAAGAGCTAGATTGAAAGGCTTCCCGGGTAAGCGCTTCTGCTTAGTAAGTGCTCAGGTAGTGACTTGAATGGCGGATTTTAACTTGGTTTGATTTGGGACTTCTGGGCATCACTGCAATATAAATATTAAATAATAATCACTGGAAGTAATAACTGTCTGAAAGACATAAAGGGATGGGAAGCAATTTTTCCTTTAACAAGTGTATATTGAGGTTTATTTTAGATACTCTGTAATTTAAATGTGCACATGGTCCATTCAAAATGTCTTACTGTAACATTTTCTGAATTGATCTGATTCACAGCTAGATTACACCACATTTATGCTGGTTAAATCAACACAGAACTGGTATAATTCAGTGGCAATTAAGTCTTAGAGGCATATTGTTATGACTTCCTAAATGCATAATACCTATCTACTATATTTAGAGAGAAGCAAAGTAAACAACCTCTGTTCAGTCTAATACAATCCCAAATTTATACTGCTTAAATACCGCATTATGTCATACAAAGAAGTTTTCTCTGCATTTGGTTGCATAATTTTTCAAATAGTAAAATCAAACAGAGCAATGAACATAAATGTATTGTGACTGACCTGTGGAGTATTATGCAAGTACCAACAGAAAATCTTTGTAACACCACAACCTATTTTGTATATGCTGTGTTCTAAAAATGGTTTGGAATGTTTTAGAGTTATTTTTAAACATTTTATTGTGACTTTTTGTTTGTATTTCTCTTCCTTGGTTACCATGGGTAACTCCTGAATTCTGACTGAGGAACACTTGGCACAGCTTTTGACGTGGAGGAGAAGAGACAAAATGGTGGTGTTAAGGCACCTTTACTCTTGCCTGATTTGGACTGTTTTGCTCATGGACAGTCTCTTTCACTTTAAGCTCTGCTGCAGCCTCTTCGCCTGTTTTGACAGCTGATGCCCCCACATAAATCTTGCGCTGGTCAAAACAAAGGGAAAGGAATGAAAATGCAGCCATGTCATTTGAGGACATGGACATCTGCGGATCATAACCTTCAGTCCTTTGCTCACAAAGTCCTGCAAAGCTCCTGGCCATGCTGCAGACAAAGAGTTAAGCATAAAGTTGGCAGAAAGGGCCAACTGTGAAGTTGCCTAAAATAAGCCATGTCCAGAAGCCCTATCCTGGTTGTATTGCTCTT